GCCTGTAATCCCAGCTACTCGGGAGGCTGAGGCAGAAGAATCACTTGAACCTGGGAGGCAGATGTTGCAGTGAGCCAAGATTGCACCGTTGCACTCCAGCGTCGGCAACAAGAACAAAACTCTTGACTCCAAAAAAAAAAAAAAAAAAAAAAAGCTAGGCCAGTCCTGTCCCCAGCCTTTTTCTTAGGCAATTACATTTCTAGCTAAACTTGTGCTGCTGTCAGCCACCCAGCAGCTTTCCTGTCCCAGTCCTGTCATCTTTCTTCTGTAATGCCAACAGTCAGGCTGTGTGACGTACGAGGCAGGATCATGTAGTGGTGAAGCATATGGGTTCAAATCACCATTCTGCAGCCAAAGCTGTATAATCCTGTGCAAGTAGTTCAACCTTGTTGTTGCCTCAGTTTTATCATAAAATGAGTACTTTCCTCATGAGGTTGTTGAGAGGACCAAGAGAATGAGAATAAATAAGCAACTCAACTCAATGCCTGGCAGATGATAAGACCTGAGTTCAAGAAATATTGGCTATTAGTATCTCATTTGAGACTCATACATGGTATTATCATCACGGCCATTTTATGGACAAGTTATTCAAAACCCAGAATGTAAATTATGGGCTACAGATCACAAGTAGCCAATAATGAGAGAGAGACTAACTTCAGCTTTTAGGATCTGTTCTCCCAAATATCTATAGAATCCATACTTTTTTTCCTTTTTTTTGAGACAGAGTCTCACTCTTGTCATCCAGACTGGAGTGTAATGGCGTGATCTCAGCTCATTGCAGCCTTTGGAGGGGAGCCTGTCGCTTTGGGCCCACTTTTCCCTTAGGGATATCTGCTGATTTAGATGAAGCAGTCAGAGAAGGAGAAAAGTTGTACCAACCTAACAAGGACAAGTAGAAAAAAGTTCAGGCACAAATCAGGGGACTTCTAGCAAGCCCTCCAGAAGAGTCTACTTGTCTGGTGCAATGACTCATGCTTTAATCCCTGCAGTTTGGGAGGCCAAAGTGGGAGGATCATTTGAGACCAGGAGTTCCAGACCAGCCAGCCAACCTAGCAAGACCACCCCTGACCTTCTCTACCAGAAAAAAAGAGAAAAATTATCCAAGTGTAGGGGTGCACACCTGTAGTCCCAGCTACTCCAAAGGTTGAGGTGGGAAGATCTGTTGAGTCCAGGAGTTCAAGGCTGCAGTGAGCTATGATCATGCCACTGAGCACCTGGGCAACAGAGCAAGACTCCATTTCTAAAAAACAAATGAACCAACCCGGAAGATCCAAATCTAGTAGACAAGGAGATAATAAAAATATATTTTCAGTTAGGCTGGGCACAGTGGCTCACGCCTATAATCCCAGCACTTTGGGAGGCCGAGGAGGGTGGATCACGAGGTCTAGAGATCGAGACCATCCTGGTCAACATGGTGAAACCCTGTCTCTACTAAAAATACAAAAATTAGCTGGGCATGGTGGCACGTGCCTGTAATCCCAGCTACTCAGGAGGCTGAGGCAGGAGAATTGCCTGAACCCAGGAGGCGGAGGTTGCAGTGAGCCAAGATCATGCCATTGCACTCCAGCCTGGGTAACAAGAGTGACACTCCGTCTCAAAAAAAATATTTTTTCAGTTAAAAGAACCCAACTGAGAGAAACTGTTAATAGTTGATCCAAACAAGAGGAAATACTGAAGTGAATGGCAGAAGGAAAAACATCTCAAGTGAGAGCTTGGTGACACAGGCAAGAGTAAAGAACAAAGGATAAATATATGGTTAGCTGAAAAGCGTACTCACTATACAGAACAGCAGAAATAATACAGGATTTAAAAATATAAATCAAATTAAAATACACAAAAGCAGAAGCATTAAAATTGGGAAGTCAATAAATGGAGTTAAGTGTTTTAAGATCCAGGCATTGTCTAGGAAGAAGCCGAAGTAGCGATTTCTATTGGATTCTGGATAAATCAAGGGTCATGTAATCTCTAGGGTAACAATTAAAGGGATGATAAGAGTAACTATAAGTACCAAGATAATGGAAAGAAAATTGGAGTCTAGATACTTCATTCAGATTTCATAAATTACATGTATTCTATATCTGTCATACAGAAGGAAGCTCTTCTTTTGTATTCTGTTTTCTATTTATTTTTCTGGGTTGCTTTTTATTGAATAGTTTAAAACCCAAGATATAGGTAAACTAATCATATCAATGCAAAGTAAGGCAAAACTCAAACCCAAAGTGGCTTTCTCTAGGAAAAGATATCCTTCCTAAATGTGAAGGCCATCTGTTACGGTTTGGATTGTGTCCCCTAAAACGGACACAGTACTTCAGAATGGGACCCTGTTTGGAAGTAGGGCTATTGCCACTGGAATCGTTGCTAAAAATTGTATTTTAGGTCATACTGGAATATGGTGGGCACCTAATCCAATGAGACTGGTATTTTTATGAGAAGAGGAAACTTTGGACACAGACATGCACAGAGGGAATGTGATGCAAAGATACAGGAAGAGGATGGCCACTGGATTGATGCAGCCGCAAGCCAAGGGATGCCTGGGACATCCTCGAGGAAGCTGGAGGAGGCGAGGAAGAATCCTCCCCTAGAGTCTCAGAGGGAACTTGGCTCAGCAGACACCTTAATTTTGAATTTCTAGCCTCTAGGACTGGGAGATAATGCATTTCTGCTGTTTTAAATCTGCTGTACTTGGTGGCAGCAGTCCTAGGAGACTCTCAGTCTTCCATTTCACACTGACTTTGGAAAGGATCAGGGAGATGAAAATCAAGACCTTGGGTGTAATCTCAGTGGCCTGGGACATGACCACACACCATCAAAGGGACAAAATGGCATCCCCTGCAGATTTTGTAAAAACCTGAGGGTTTTACAAAAGCTCTGGATCCCAATCAATAATCAGAATTATCTGACCACAGCAAAGCAGGAGGGGAAAGAGAGAAGCCAGCCAGAGCCTCTTGGGGATCTCTTTGATCACTGCAAGCAAGGTGTGCTTTTAGGATGGAAGGAATGCATGAGAGATGAAATGCCTGTGGAGTGGGGGTCTTAAGGGAGAAGCCTCATTGCACGTCATTGCACATCCCCCTTGGGAACTCTGGGATATTAGCAGTAGCCTTTGAAGGTCAGCCTGCCTATGAGCGTGTCCTCCAGGATTTCTACCTTTCTGGTGAAGGCTGTCAGGTGGCAGGGGTGGAATGGGAGAATAAGACTTCTCTTGGTGGGAAGCGAAGTCACAGGACAGAGTGAGTTGGACAACCTCTGCCTTAGTTGGTAGCATGGTGAACTGAGGGCAGGGCTGTTTCTGAGGATCACACAGGATGATGCCACTCAAATAACCTCTGATTCAGCCATGGGGTAATATATCCAAAGTTCTTTGAGACAGATGACCTACTCACCTACCCATCAGGAGTAATAATGAACTATAGACAGTGGTGGAGACATTTTCTCACCTGAGCATGACAGCTGAGGGCCAGCTGCAGAAGTGATGCCTGAAAATCAGTAGTTCCTTCTTGGGTCATCTAACAGAGGAATGAAGAACACACCGGGGAACAAGAGCACAGAAACACTTTTAAAGACAGAAAGCAGTAGGTATGAGCCACTGCAGACCCAGCCAGGCAAGCGGGAATACCTAGGGCCCCAGTGATTATACTGGTGTGTGGTCCATGTCCTAGGCCACTGAGATTACACCCGAAGTCTTGATTTTTCTCTCCCCAATTCTTTCCTAGGTCAGTGTGATCTGGAGGAGTGAGAGACTCCGCTTCCATCTTTGTTGGGGAAGATATTAAAGCTATTCATACAATGGATGTTTCCTTTTAGAGAGGAAGGTTAGAAGTATCATCTCTGACAACAAAATGGAACCAATCACCAAGGCCAGATGGCATCTCCCGGAAACACTAACTGGTATACTTGAAAGAATATTGGCCAAAATGCTGTGCAAGGGGCTGGACATCTGGTCAGCAGAGGACAGTTCAAAGAGATGGTCCCCAAAGAGATTCCACAAGCACTCTGGTGAGTCAGACAAAAGCAGAGAGGTGACAGAGTTCTGGTGAGTTTCCTGCCCTAATTTACCTGGCAGATGAGAAAAGCTGAGTTCATAGTAGCTGTTACCATTATCAGGGTCAGAGGGACTAGGGGAAGGGTGCTGTGATGTTTGGTTTTGTTTTCATTTATTTCTAAGTGAACTGGCAGAGGGAGTGAGCATGAAATCATCAAGCGTGCCCTGAAGGCTCAGAGATGGTGAGTTGCAGCAATGGTTGAAAGAGTCTGCAGCTCTGTAAGCCTGAGAAGGTGAGCTGAGCCCCAGCATGTGCCCAAGGAAAACCTGCAAAGCGCCCTCAGAAGTGTCTGTTGCTTGGAGCTCTTTGTTCCACACATTAGTACTGGTAAAACAGGAGCTCTCATCTGAAGTTATGTATATTTGTTGTTGATGCTCAATGGAAAAATCATTTCAAATATTTGATCCGCAGACAAAAGCTTTCAAACAAAGGGGGCAGCTTCGTGTGGAATGATGAGAGCTCTTGGGACTGACGGGTTGATTCATGTGATGTGGCAGTTCTGGTGTATCTTGCACTCACATTTAAGAATATGCATGTGCTGGGGTTAAGAAGAGAGGTAAAACGAACAAACTGAGTGTGACTTGAAGGAAGAGGCTAATTCTGTGCAGAAGGAAACGTTCCTGTTGCGTGAATTCAATACAAAACCAAGTAAGAAGGTGAGAGAAAGGGGGAGGCCGGGGCTACCATAAGCCTCATCTCTCCCCTTTTCCAGCCCTGAAAATAGCTTTCTTTGTTGAAGAATACACCTGAGGTGAGCCTTCTTCACTCATCCTCCCATTCAAATCCAATTTGCTACTCAGGTAAGTCCTTCCAGGTGCCTCGTGGTAATAAAACCTCCCGGGTTAATTCACAGACTCCCACAGAAAATCAAAGCTCTTCCCAGGCTCTTTCACTGAGAAGAAAGAAATGAAATGGATGCTGCCCTCAGAGGTGCCAGGCCAAGCCCACATGAAAATGTTTTGATTCCTGAGACACAAAACCATTTATTTTTGGTTCATTTCAGTATCTATAGCAGTGCACAAATAACACATTTCCATCCACATGAATAGTTTCCAATTGTTGGAGCAAATTAATCTTTTACAAGCTACTCAGCAGTGAGGTTAGAAGATAAACAGCAGATGAAATCGTACACTTTCCCCTGTATGTGAACTTTCTTATTACAATAAACTCCCACATTTGAGCTCACCACATCCAATGACTGCTGCTCTCTGTTCATGTGGCGGCCCCGGCTGCCCCCTGCCACCTCTGCCCTGCTGAGGTAGTTCTCTGATCAACCACCTGGGTGGGGCATGCTGCCATTTTCAGTTTGGAAGGAAAAGCCTGTAAATCTGCTTCCTGGGAAGAGAGACACTGCTGAATTGTCATTTGCCTCCAGAATGCAGAAAACATCAATTTCATTGCAGCTCATCAGGGTTGGAAACACCTGCCACTTCCTTTCTCAGTTGCAATTAACATGCTACATCTTGGCATTGATTGAGTCCAAGCAGCCTGACACTGCCAATGTCTAGGTTTAAATGAAACAGTACAACCTGATATTATTTTTCACAGTTTCAAAAACACAAACTTATTTTTATTGCCAAAGAAGCACTGTGATCATGGGGAATATGCCTTTATGCTTGAGATAAATGTGAGCAGAATAGGGTGATGCTTATAATAAAAATAGCTTTCATCTTTGTATTTGAGGATGGTACTTATTTCTTGATCTTTGTATTTATTTGCAGTCCACCTCCAAATAAACACAAAGATCAAGTCTTTATTAATTAAGGACTAATATTCTTTCTGTATCTCAGCATCTGGTACAGGGCTGCAGAACCCCATGGGCATTCAGAGGATGTTAAATAAACAGACACATAAATGGTTTGGGACAGCAACCTTAAAAACTGTCCTTTTGGCCTAACTTAGGTAAAATTCTGACCTTATAACTATCATAAACACTTTGATTTAACTTAGAAGCTGTGCGAGACTGACTGTAAAATATGACCTGAGGCTGGGCTTTCTGCCCCATTCAAAGTCCTAAATAGTTGGGCCTTGATCACATTCACTAGTGCCCTGTTATGGGGCAGTGCAGACTCTGCATTCATCATAATCCTACTCATATTGTATACAAAGAAACTCTTCAAAATGTACAATATTTTATATTTTGAGAGTCTTAGAACACTTGTAAATAAGGAATGGAATAATTTCAGATAGTTCAACAGACACAATATTTGTGTCCACTGGATATGCTGAAATGGTTTTATGTACTAGTAAAACAGAAAGCCAGTGTATGTAGAAAACTGTTAAGGATGAGGTTTATGTTTTAAGTTGGCCAGATAAAACTGAGCCATAAACCACAGAGCACAGTCTGTGGAATAAAGTGAACAAATTGCTTCTCTCATCTATTAACAGAATACTAGGGGCCAAGAACCATCTTCTCTCTCAGCCCTCTTGGGAGACTCATTCTTTGGGATGGAAATAAAGGAAATTAAAATAAGTGGCCATTAATTCTTTTGCACAATAACAACTCAAACATGACACACTTGAGCATCATCTGTTAAATGTATGCAAGCATCAAAGGATGTATTTTTATGCAACTGACGGAAAAGACTGGGGCCTGAATATTACTGCACATTCTAGAATGAAAACTGAAGCTATAAATCTTTTTCTTCTAATGAGTTGATATTCCTGTGCATCCATTATCTTACCTCTAAATGCCTGATAGCTGAAATCTTTAATACTATACAACTCACTGCCCCAAACATCTGGGTTATTTGTATATTAAATAGCTTATGTACCAATTTCTTAGTGCTAATAGGTCTTCTCCAAATTATAACACCTGAAAGCCTGAATTATGAGGAAATCATATTACCAATTCTCACCAATATACAAATAAATAAAAATAGATAAATATCTAGAAATGTTACAGTTTTCATAGGTGGGTAGGTAGGTAGATGCCTCCTCATATTGCCTAATAACAGAATTAAGGCACTGGAAGAACTGATTCTCATTTAAAAAAAAAAAAAAAGGAAGGAAGGAAGGAAAAAAAAAAGAACTACAACCTTTGGAACTTGGTATAACATAGAAAGATTGTGCTTAAATATAACCCAAAGCATTGGCTGACTCAGAGGAAAGCCAGTTATACATCTAATTTCTGGCTTGTCAGCTGCCCAGATTGGTGTGCGCAGAGAGCATCTCTGACAGAAGCAGTTCACGGATCAACTTGAGAGAACTTTGGTCTCCAGTCAGAGCCAACTGTTGTAGAGCACCTTTTGTCTAATGACACATTTAAACACTTGCCAAAATGAGAGCAGCCAAATATATAACCAAGAGTTTCTTTAGTGTTTCTCTTATCAATAACAATCTTCAAAGAATCCCAGTGAGCAAAAACAATCAAATGTTTTATGACAACACATCACCATATTAAATCTTCTCTTCTTTGGCCCCCATGGGAACCATCAAAAGGCCCCAGGAATTCTAACAAGTCAGGACAGAAACTCCATCTTCCAGTTTTCTTTTCAAACTGAAATGTGACTGAGTTTGGGATGTGGTAAATAGGGTCACTGCATTCAGCTCTCCCTCTAAGTAAGAAGTGATTCTGTCCTTGCTCTGTAGAGTTCTTAGGGAGTGGGAGGGTCTAAGAAGACCACTAGCAAGAAGCATTCCTTCTCTTGTACCCTAGCATGTTCAGTCTCAGTAGCAGCACCAACCTCACGAATATTTTATCAACAAATCAAATAAGTTCCCTTTTTTTTTTTGCCATCATCAACACTTATTTTAAAGTACTTTAAAATTATTCCTTTTCTGAAAATGCTTTTTATTATTTTCCAGGGAGGCATAAAAAGAGTAGCATGGGGACAAAAAGCTTTTCTAAGCCAGCAGTGTTTGGTGAACACTAACAATCCCACTGGCATAAAGTTAAAGTTTTATTTCCTTTCCTCTTAAAATAAAGGCTCAAATGTTCTATTAAGCTCTCATTGCTTATGTATATTATATTAAGGCTTACAAATGCATCTGGTAAATTAAATTCACCCTGGATTGAATTAACACCTGCTATATGAGTTATTTGTTTTATGTAATCAGTAATCTCAAGGTTTCTCCTCTTTCTCTGGAAACACAATTTAAATATTAACCTAATCTTTAAACTGCGGCTGCTTCTTTCTGACATTTGGAAACCAGTCATCCATATAAAAAAGGCAAATATGGATATATTAGTGGAAAGGCAGCTTCTCAAAATCTTAAAGTATGTAACTCAATGAATTGGGAAGAAAAATGATAAAAGCAGCAGGAAAGTCAAGTCTTTGTGTCACTTTCTAAGGAAAACAATGCTGGTCATTTGCCAACAACACTTCTGAGAGCCTGGCGGAAGCTGACTGCCAATTTCCAAAGAGTCTTTGGGTTTTCTTCATTATAATCTCTCGAAGGACCATGGGAAGCTGCCATGCGTGCAAGAGAATTTTAATTTTAACAAATACACTAAGGTGTAACTTAAGTTCCAGGGATTATTAATCCTGCAGAAGGACCCGTGAGGGTATGCAGTGCACTTGGCCTGATCCGGTCCCAGCTTGCAGCCAGGTAGAGGGACCATGAGCCTCCTCAAGTCCTGCTCAGCTGACAGCCGCTGGAGAATATGAAGCTTTCAAAGTGCTGGTCCTCTGCTTTTTCTCTGACACGTTGTTCCTCTAAGGAATTGACAAGTTTGTCCCTTTGCGTAATCACTTGCATCAGCTCAGTGAATATTTCTTGCTCTTCATTTAAATCCTTCTCATCTTTCTGGCTCTCTAAAGAAAAAAAAAGGAAAACACTGGGCTCAGAGAAGATTGGGCCCCAGGAGAGTTCTTGGCATGGACATTCTCGATTGTTGTGGACTTGTTCTGCCTTTTAATTTTAATGGAGAAAACAAGGAAATGAATTTAACACCAAGGAACCGCCCTTAAAGCCAGAGAGGAGAAAGGTGGGTGCAGTGAACTAGTTCACTCAGTTTACATCTTGAAGATATGTACGAAGCGACAGTGAAAATCCCTTTGTAAGAAAAAGAACTTAGTATCAGCTAAGCCCTATCAGGTCCCCCAACCTTCTCTCTACCCAGAAGAGAAACTAACAAAACAACAAAAAGTTGGTTTCCATAGACATGTCTGAGCCACAGCAAAGAAATCTGTGAGAAGTTTCTAATAAACCATCTATCTGCACCAGGGGTTACTGTTTCAATGACCAGAATCTTTTTTATTTTTTTGAGACAAGAGTCTTGCTCTGTTGCCCAGGCTGTAGAGAAGTGGCGTGGCCTCGGCTCACTGAAACCTCCGCCTCCTGGATTAAAGTGATTCTCCTGCCTCAGCCTCCCGAGTAGCTGGGATTATAGGCACCTGCCACCAAGCCTGGCTAATTTTTTTGTATTTTTAGTAGAGATGAGGTTTCACCATGTTGGCCAGGCTGGTCTCGAACCCTGACCTCATGATCTGCCCACCTCGGTTTCCCAAAGTGCTAGAATTACAGGTATGAGCCATGATGCCCAGCCAGAATCTCTTTTATCTATAGTTAATGACAAACCATAGCCTTTTGTGTAGGGACCACAGGGAAGCAAAGTGAGGCTATAGACAGGAAGGTGTTTCCACACTGACTCTGTTTTTTCCTTTGTCTTTGCCTAGTACCTGACCTTGATAATTGGCCTGAGGCATTCAGTTGCCTGGGGGAGACAGGATTGTTAGAAGATGAAAGAAGAGTAGGAAACAAGTAGTAATGAGCTTTGGACACAGAAAATAGGAATTTGAAGCCAGATTTAAGTCTTGTCAAGCAGATGATTGCCTTGAGAGAGACCTTTCTAAATTCCTAGAGCCTCGCTGTCTAACACATGGAGGACTGGGTGGGAAGCCCCATCCCAGAGTACAGAGGGTGCCATTGTCCCTCGTCAGGCTTAGCTCTGAGGTCTGGGCCAGGAAGCAGGTAGATCTGATGAAAGGGAGATAAAGAAGCACTACCCCTTGTACCTCAAGATTTAAGCAGAGAAGAGAGGCAGGAGGGGCAGAGGGTTAGAGTCCCATGTTTGATCTCTCTGTCTAGGCCTTGGAAGCCCCAAAGCGGGTAGGAAATGTCATATCTCATTTGATGGGAACAGTGGGGGAGGGAGGTGGATGGGCAAAGGACTCTTGCCCTGCCCTAGTTCAGAATTCTGGAAAGAAGCCAGCTTAAAGGGCACCCTTATGTATAAACATAGGTCAGTACTTCACAATTGGGCAGAGAAGAAGGGTCTGAGTGTGGCCCCCCAGATGTCAGTGTGCTGTATATGGCATGGGTGGAGCCTAGAAGCGTCCACTTGCCCCACTGTTGCCAAAGACAGCTGGCTGGTGGACCTGCCACAGGGCTCCCCCATGGAGCAAAGTGACCCCACAGGAGACACTGTCTGGCTGCGCTGAATGGAGGATGTGCTGAGGTGAGGCTAGGTGAGCAAGGAATGCCTGCAGGCTCCCAGGCATGCTGAGAGCGTGGCCAGACTACAGATGACACCAGCACACACCTCAGCTGTGGATGCCAGCAGAGGAAATTGCAGCCCAATGATGGGGATGCTGTGTGGGGACTCAATGAGCAGAGCACCCCACATGGATTCCTAATGCTACAAGGTTATACAGACCTGCCTCTTCCCATTACCTGCCAGTCACCCTGGGGAGAGATGCAGAAAGGAGGGGTGGCATCTTCAAGACGGCACATTTTCTTCCCAAAGAGACTGAGCATCTCCTACAAGGACTGTTTAAGTTATTGCATCAGATTAAGTTTACCCATAGAGGGATAAAGAGTTCCTATTTTTTTCCTTGCTAATTAGTGGGAGGAAGCACATGCAGAAGATGAGCTCAGGTATAGACAGAATAAAGAAACTACATTTTTTGGATACATCTGAGAGGAGTGAGAAAAACGTATGAACTTTACTCCTTAGTAAAAATATTTTTAAAAAGAATCAAAGGTGGTATATAGTCTTTGGTGGTATTTATTTACTATCCTTAAACAGAACAAATTAAACTCTTCAAATCAGATATATAAATCTGATATTAGTTAGACCCTAGGTTTATTAAATTAGATATATTCCAGGATCACTACTCAGTTAATAAACAGCACAGAAAAAAAAAATCGTCTCTCTGTTTAGGCTTGTTGCAGATGGGCCCATCTGAGCCCCTTCTGACATATAAAAGACGTTACACCACTTTAGTCTGTACGGTGCTACTGCATAAGGATTTTCTTAGAATTCTGTTGCTATAAAGAAAGAGTCTGCAAATCAATGCCATATGGGAAAGGACAGAAGACCCTGATCTGTGATCTGTTCCTAAATCTTAGCCCTACCATTTACCTCAAGCACATTATTTAAATTCTCTGAGACTCAGTTTTCGAATTTGTACATTGAGTGCAAAAATATCTAAATAAAAATAAGTGATAATGATGCCTAATAATTGCCAAGCACTTGCTGTATACTGGGCAACCTCATAAGGTGGGTACAGTGTTAGTTCCATGAGGTATAGACATTCTTTAAGTTGTTCTTTTAGATCTAGGACTGCATATAGGAAGGTCATGCATGGATCTGGCGCCACAAACACACAGGCACAAAACAGAGTGAATATGCCTTTCTGACGGGAACTAATGAATGCATACAGCAGTAACAGCCGTGTATCTCCACCTTCCCTTCTTCCTGTGGGAATCGTTTTCTCATGTGTGATGCCCTGGCCCTGCCCAACTGTGGGAAGGAATGTTTCCTCTACCAGCTCTATTGTCTGGCAGCACTAGGCCCACCTTTCCCTGTGATCCCAAAGCCCTTCTGTTGTGGCCTTCATCTCACCGAACTAACATTACTGGTCTGGGGGTGTTAGTCTTCCCAGTGAGACCACAAAGTCCTACAGGGCAGGGGTTGCTCTTTACCACAAACCAGGCCCATAGTTCCCAGTAAATGTGTGTTAAATGAAGGGGTGAATGAATAAGTGAACATAGGACTGTGTTCCTACGGCCACATGGAATGGGGGAAACACTGCCCTCAGAGCCCAAGTGAATGAGGCTAAATGGGGCTTGTGGTGCTGGTGGGGGCAGAAGGCAGGCTGGCTTTTGACTCCTCTGACTCGCAGGCTGGCAGGAAGAGTGCCCCACTCCGATTTGCAGCACGCTTTGCTCAAGAACCTTTCTGGGGGAAAGTGTTCCGAACAAGGGCCCGAGACATCAGCATACTCACCCTCCTTGAGCATTTTCTCTCTCAGTTTCTGCTCCAGTCTGCTTTGATGGTCTTCTAATTCTAGTTCCTGGGCCCTGGGTATGAGAAAACGTTCAGACTTTATAAATACTAGAGATTTGTGAGGAAACATTGATGAATAAGCCCATTCAGAGTAGCTATAGCTTTCTTTTTTCCTTATTAAAATTGGAGCCTTAGCCTATCTTCATTTTTTATTATAATTATTATTATTTTTGAGACCAAGTCTTATTCTGTTGTCCAGACTGGAGTGCAGTGGTGCCATCTCAGCTCTCTGCAACTTTTGCCTCCATGGTTCAAGTGATTCTCCTGCTTCAGCCTCCTGCGTAGCTGGGATTACAGGTGTGCACCACCATGCCCAGCTATTTTTTTTTTTTTTTTGAGATAGCGTTTCACTCTTGTTGCCCAGGCTAGAGTGCAATGGCACAGTCTTGGCTCACTGCAACCTCCGCCTCCTTTGTTCCAGCGATTCTCCTGCCTCAGCCTTCTGAGTAGCTGGGAATATAGGCGCCTGCCACATGCCCAGCTACTTTTTGTGTTTTTAGTAGAGACAGGGTTTCACCATGTTGGCCAGGCTTTTCTCCTGACCTCAGGTGATCCACTCTTCTTGGCTTCCCAAAGTGCTGGAATTACAGGCATGCCACCACACCTGGCCTTAGCCTGTCTTTAAACGGAATGTTCTGCTGCTGCTGGGATCTCTGAAGGTGCCTGGAAAGATTGCTGAGATGCACTGAACTAAAGAGACCAGGGGGGAGCCACCGAAGGCTGCAATGTGCTCTCAGTAGCTCTGGAAGGCCACCCAGACCACCCTTTAGGGATGGGGTGGGGGGTGAGGAGAATAGTGAAGAAATGACTAGCATAGACCCCGGGAGAAGCAATGACAATCAGATACTTTTGCCTCTTTTAGGAGTAACTTGACTTAGAGCATTATCTCAAATGACTCTCAAGTCTCTGACTGTGGTAAATGAGAAAACAAAATGGAGGAAACAAAAGTGAGACATATTTGTGTGGGTGAGGGCCTTAAACCTCAGGCAACCCTCCAGCTGGCCGTAGGAAAGGTGGAAAGAGTCAGTGAGGCTTTGGGGTAGTCAAGCTTGAGTGCTGGGGACTCAGCATTTCCACTGAGAGGAGCAGCAAAGTCAAGATATTAGTGAGTCCTCAGTGAAGGTCAGATGGAGCTTAAGTCTTCCATGCTGGGGGAAGTAGGTGTGTGAGCTTCCCACAGGCGAGCCCATGTGGTAACGTGAAGGCTCCCAAATGCCACTCTGAAGTTCTCAGGAGAAATGAGGACCACACACAGATGTGGCAGTGGTCAGAGGTGAGAGCTGAAGTTGTGTGATCCCTAAAAGGAAGGCTATAGAGAAAGAAACAGTTTCAAAACAGAAGCCTGAAAATACCTACACTTAGAAGCCAAATGAAAAAGGTAGACACGGAAGAAACCATTCAAAGTTTGGAAGGACAAACAAGAAATGCGTCATCACAGAGACAAGCAAGGGATGTTTTGAGAGAAAAGAGAAAGATCAAGCGTGTTCACTGCAGCAGAGACTTGAAGAGGGTGAGGGCTGAGACTAGGTCCCTGGGTTTGACCTGGTGGGGCATCCTCTTCCAGCCTCCACCTGTCATCTGCATGTGTATCATGCATCGCCCTTATGCATGCTGGGGTCACTTTGTTATACCTGTTACTGGTGTTATTTTTACTACTTTTGCTACTACAGGGGCCAAGGTCCCTGCCTCTTGTTATCAACCCTAAACTTCTTGTGGCCCATTGTGGTAGCCAATGGAGATGGTCCGGTCAGATCTTCCTGTAAGAGAACTTTCTGGGAGAAGCGTAGTGAGCTCACTGCTGCTGCAAAATCCACTTCCATGTCATGCAGATGGGCACAGAGGTGCTGCAGTTGCTCTGTTCCTGCCCTACCTGGAGCTCCTGGACGCACGGTCTTTGCACTGATGTTCCCCCATTGATTGGCCAAGACTTTTTCAGAGCTGCGAGGAATATGGGGCTCCTCCTGCCCAATTCTTCTCCCTCCCTATGCTCCTTTTACAGGCATCAGAACTGCAGTGGAGTCTGGAGACTTCTGACTTCCTCCTGCTCCCTCTCCCTTCACAGACATTTCCTCCATTAGCCCTCTTGTTATTCCAAGTGTCTTGACGTTTGGTTCCCAAAGGCCTTGATTCAACATACCAATAAGATATTTCTCCATGCTCATTCAGGGCTTTCTCCAAACTAAAACCCATCCTTTAGTAGAGCTCCGACAGGCCTTTGTCTAGTTCACATGCCAAAGTTTTCTGATTCACTCCTTTGAGAGGAAAGTCCTTCCAACAGCATAGGGAAGCTGCAGTTATGGGACACAAGCAGCAGCTGTGCCTCCCTGACTCTCAGGCAGACCTTTCTATCACCATGGAGCTCTTCTGGGTTTTCTTATTACTATTGTGCTATGCATGTGCACATCTGCCTCCCTCGAAACAACAAGCCCCTAGAAGATAGAGTCTAAGACCTTATTCACCTTTATTTCCACAGAACCCAGCAGAGTTCCTGATGCATGGAATGTGCTTGATAAATTTCTGACAATTTTTAAATAATTTTTACATTTTTATAATTTATCATTCACACCTGGCCTCAGTGCAGACACTGTAGCTATATAAAAAGGGCTCTGTAGTCAGGTAGAGTGGACAAATTACTTAGTTTCCCTGAGTCTCAGTATATGCATCATCTTAAAAAGTTGTAATAAGGCTGGGCAGGGTGACTCACGTCTGTAATCCCAGTACTTTGGTAGGCCAAGGTGGGCAGATCACTTGAGGTCAGGAGTTTCAGACCAGCCTGGTCAACATGGTAAAACCCTGTCTCTATTAAAAATACAATAATTAGCTGGGTGTGTTATGCACCTGTAGTCCCAGCTACTTGGGAGGCTGAGGCAGGAGAATCACTTAAATCTAGGAGGTGGAGGCTGCAGTAAGCCAACATCATGCCACTGCACTCCAGCCAGGGCAACAGAGCAAGACTCTGTCTCAAACAAATAAACAAACAAAAAGTTGTAATAAAACAAATCATCACTAGAGATAACCCCCCCTTCTCCATTCCTGGCATTACCTTCCATGTCAATGGAACTCAATGAATGTAACTCTGGTCCACCTTTCCCAACCCTACCCGTCCTCACTCTCACGCCAGGGGAGGTAAACTTGGGAAAAATAGACTATGTGAACCCAACTCACTCCTCTCTTTCTCTCCCAGGCTCAGCCAGTCTTACGCAAACACGTGTTCTCAATAAGCCTTGCCATAGTTCCAGGGCAAGGTTTTTCAACCTTGACACTTTTGACTTGTTAGGCCAAATAATTCTTTGTTGGTGGTGGGGAAGGACTGTTCTGGACTTTGCAGAATGTTTAGTAGCATCCTCGGCCTCTACTCACTGGATATCAGTAGCAACCCTGCACCCAGATGTGACCGCAAAAATGCCTTCAGCCACTGCCAAATATCCTCTGAGGTTACTGCCCCTGGCTGAACCCCACTGGTCTAGGATAACAGCCTTGCCCCTAAGGAGCAGGTAAGTCTGCTACCTTTTGTAATTAGATAGGTATATTTCTACTTCTGGAGTTGATTAGTGTAGTGCGTTGAATGGTAACCCTCTAAAAGATACGTCTACATCCTAAACCATGGAAACCGAATGTGACCTTATTTCTAAAAGGTCTTTGCAGATGCAATTAAATTAAGGACCTTCAGATGAGAACATTCTGGATTATCTCAGTGGGTCCTAAACCCAATGACTCAAGTGTCTTTATAAGAGCAAAAGAGGAGATGACACAGACACACAGAGAAGGCTGTGTGAAGATAGAAGCAGACACTGGAGTGACGCAGCCACCAACTCAGGAAAGCTCAGAGCCAGGAAGAGCGGCAGGGGCAAGGACAGCTCTCCCAACACCTTGATTTTGAACTTCTGGCTTCCAGACAGTGAAAGAATACATTTCTGCTGTAAGTCATCCAGTCTGTGGTAACTTGTTATTGCAGCCTAGGAAATTAATACAACTAGCAAGCACATCTGGGCTGTCATAGTAAGCCATGCACCAGCCATTATCATAGAAGCCATTATTGGTAATAAAGATAACATTTTATGTTCCATCTATTGACTTGGTTGTCTTATTTCTCATCTGGCTCAGAACCCAGGAAGGAAGAGTAGTAATATTTGTTATACCCCTTCAAAAGCCTTTAAAATTACCTCCTGGGATTGGCGCAAAAATGAAGCACCCAGCATGACTTGTGGCACTTAAATTGATACTGTTACTTTTTCCCTCTAGAATGATGACAGGCATAGTGACCTTCAGCTTTTTCAGAATGTGGTGAGATCTAACTCCACTTTTTGATCTCCCAACCAGGCTGCAAGTGCTCATTCAGAGAGGACAGCCAGATGGATCTCTAAAGCCACAAAAGTGGTCAGGCATATGTCACTGAGTCCTTCCCAAGATTCACACTCAGAGGCCAGACATAGCCTTCCCATTGCAGTGTGTGATCCCTCCTTTAAGATGGGCTCAGGGAACAGGGATAGATTCAAACTGCCTTATCCAAATGACCTTCAGTTCCAGACCCATTACCCAAAATCTATTTTAGCCATAGGACTTTGCAGAGAGAAGAGACAGCTGAAGATGCTTTGCACTAATGCCAGCATGATATGCAAGATATAACATATCAATTTGCCTCAATCACTACTCTGTATGCACAAAGAGAAAAAGTCCCAAGACTTCCGCCTTGGAGGGTAAGCCACCCTCCTTTCCCAATTTGCTTTTAGGACTCACCGGTATCTGTGTTGCCTTACTTACATGATTAGGAGCTCCGACTCATATCGCATTAATTTATTCTTCTCCAGAACCAGCTTAAACCATTCCTGCAAAAGCTGTGCTTCATCCTGTGTGCCTGAATCTGCTTAAGAAATCAACAGCAAATGGGTCAGATTGGTGTTTCTCTCCCCATGATCAAACTGCTTTGAGCCACTTTAGCAGGTTATGTTTGTAGTGAGAAGAGCTCTGCAGGCAGCACCCCCCACACCCTGTAGATGCCTCCAAGTTATGGGCATGACAAATAAAACCCACCTGTGCATGCTCTGGGTACGTGTGTCGGGGGTCTTCTCGGACACTTAGGGCATGACCACTCCAGTTCCAATGGTCAAATAACCATGACAACATCCCACTACAAACGACCCTCTCCCTGTCTACTCGTATACTCATTGTAAAACTTATATATGTGTATGCATCACATCCCTCACCAAGGATAACCCTAGCTGCTGGCCATCATTTCCTTCTGTTTCTTCCCCAGATCAAATGGCTACTGAGTGCCCAGATGGCGTGTGGCTCCCTCCATGGAGCGGGGAAACTCACACCACATTTGGTCATAGAGGAGTGCTACCTGGCATTTTGATTTTTTTGAACAAAGAAAAGCCAAATAATAATAAAAAAAAAAGTTATTAGCTTTGTGCCTCATGGGGGTAAAGTTATATCCATATATTCTTATTACTTAGATTATGACCTTTATTAAACAGAAGAAGAATCATGAGAAAACTGGTGCTGCTTCTTAGATATTTAATGTTAGATACTAAATATTTAGGTACTAAAATGTTAAAAGGTGGCTTTCTAATATTTCACCCTGAAAGAAGAACACGAGCTGTATGGCAAAGCTCATGGCCATCCTAGAAGGATTTATACTGGAGGGTCCCATACACGGAGGGGAAAACAAGGCAGACAGAAGATGTGTGTGACCTTGTACAAGTTGCTTAACTTCTTGGAGCCTCTGCTTCCTCATTGGTTAAATCGGAATAATAAGACACACAGGAAATATAATAATAATGAGCTGCTGTTTATTTCGTAGTGATGACATGCCAGTTGATGGTCTATGTACCTTATATGTAGCATCTAATTTAATCCTCATAACCTACTCACCTGTAGATACACTTATCATTGCCACTTTGTAGCTGAAGAAATGGAGGTTTAAAAGATTTAACTTGCCCCAGTTCACAGTAAGCAGCAAAGCTAAAACCTGAACTTAACTGTGTCTGGTCATAAACCCACGATCTTCACTGCTATGTGTATTTCTCCCTCCCTCCTGCTAAAGTAGTCTTTTAAGGTGAATAACATACCTAGTTCATTGCCTTGCACATAGCAAGAAATCCATAGAAATGAGTTCCCTTTTCTCCTCATCCCCTGGACCACCTTTTTATTGATAAGGAAATTGGAGCCCAGAAAGATTTACAGTCATCTCTCAGTATTTATGAAGGACTAGTTCTAGGACCCCTTCTTGGATACCAAAATCCATGGGTGCTCAAGTCCCTTAAATATAATGACATTGTATGTTCAGCTGTTCAAATCTGTGGGTTCTTCATCTGTGGATTCAACCAGCTGTGGATCAAATATATTCAGAAAAAAATATTTCACAAAGTTCCAAAAAACAAAACTTAAATTTGCTGTACTTCAAGTACTATGTTGAATCCATTCAAATGAAGTGATTTGTAGGAACTGCGTTTGGTGTTGAGTAAGCCAGAGATGATTTTAAATTATGGGAAGATGTGCATAGGTTATATGCAAATATTATGCCTGGGTTTTTTGTTTTTTTTTTTTTGAGACAAAGGCTTGCTTTGTTGCTCAGTCTGGAGTACAGTGGACAATCATGGCTCACTGCAACTTCCACCTCCTGGGTTCCAGTGATTCTCCTGCCTCAGCTTCCTGAGTAGCTGGGACTACAGGCGTGCTAAGCTAAGTTTTGTATTTTTAGTAGAGACGGGGTTTCCTCATGTTAGCCAGACTGGCCTCAGGTGACCTGTCTGCGTTGGCCTCCCAAAGTGCTGGGATTATAGGTGTGAGCTGGCATGCCCAGCCTACTATGTCATTTCATATCAGGGTCTTGTTCATCCATACATTTTGGTATCTGCACAGGAGTTCTGGAACCAGTTCCCAATAGATGCTGAGGGGTGACTGTATTTGCATATAACCTATACACATCCTCTAGTAAACTTTATATTATCTCTAGATTATTTATAATACTGAATATTTAGACTATTGTATTGGTTTTTCCATTTGTATTATTTTTTATTGTATTATTTAAATTTTTCTCTAAATATTTTCAATCTGCAGATGCAGAAGGGTGGACTATGTATGCAACATCCCAAATTATTTAGTTTATGGGCAAGCTGGTGCTAGAATGCAGAGCTTGACTTCTGTTTTACCCATTCACTTAATAACACCTATCTGTCAGACATCTCCTATGTGTTGGTATTGCCTTAGGCACTGGAGATACAGTGATATGTAACGTTACATTGCATGAGAAATTTGCAGTTAGTAAGGCATTGTGCCTACCAAAAAGAATCTTATTCGGTACTCTTTGGATCAGAGGGACTCAAAGAGCTAGAATAAAATAGAATATTAGAAAACAATCACAATAAAGCAACAAAAAGCACTCTGAGCACACAGGGGAGGGAGGGTTTTCCTGATCAGGGTGTGAAGCTGAGCTTCCTGAGGGACTAGGGTGGAAGAACAGATGACACTTTTGAGAGGAAATAATGAGTGTGGAAGAGGGCACTTTTCAAGAAGAGGGAATAACTTGAGGAAAGACAAGGGAATGAGAAAGAAGATGGTGGAGACAGAGTTTGGGAAGGGCCGAGGGGCACGGAGGGGTGAGCAAGGAGGCCTGGCATTTTATGATGGTCTCATCAGAGAGAGTAGTTGAGGCATTTGCACTTCATGCTGTAGAACACAAAGGGACATTAAAGGAGGTGGAGCACAAGAATGATGTGTGAAGTGTCGGGTATGAAGGACTAAATTGAGAGAAGGGAGGGGAATAAGGTGTTATTCTTTCTTAGGTTTCCTGAGTGAATGAATGTTTGAGCAAACAAACTGATAAACGTTGTGGGCCAACATCTTCTAAGCATTGTTTGTGGTGCCAGACAGGGGTGAGTAAACACTGGTTCCAGCTCTTTAGGTAACTGGGAGCTCATGGTCCATTGGGGAAAACCAGTGTAGCCAAATAGAATACAACATGCCTCTTGTGAGAACACAGGAGGCAGGCAATTAATTACGTGCCAAGAAAGCAAGGGAAAACCTTAGAGAGGAGGCAGCAGGTGTGCTCAGTCTAAATGGATGAGAAAGTTTGCCAGGGAGAGGAGGGGAAGAACAAGACATTCACCCGGGCATTCGTTATTGGATGAAAGAATGAAGCATGCACATCAGAGATCACATAGAACATAGAAGTTAAGAATGTACACTTTAAACTCAGACTTGGGATCAAAATGCCACTCCTCTACTTCCCATTGTGTGGGCTTAAGCTATTATTGGAGCCTTCCTAAGTCTCAGTCTCTTTATCTGCTGTGCAGCTGCAGTGGGGTTATGCACACAAAGCCCTTATCTTAGTCTTGGCCTGTAGTATATGCTCAGTAAATGGGAACAGTCACTGCTGAAATCATACAACATATAAGGTGGAAGAAACCTCTGAGGTCATCTGGTCCAGCCATTAGCCAATGCAGGAATTCCCTCCACTCTTCCCTGACAGGTGGCTGCTCTACAATTATCCATGGGATGAGCAGGCTCCCTGCTGTGCAGGAGGCCCACTGCAGGGCTGTGTACTTTTAAGTCCTGAACAATTCATTCTGTTGGCCTCCAACGAGTTAACTGCTAGCCACTGATTCCATTTTTTCTCCCTAGAGGAAAATGGAAAACGGTAACCATATATTTTACATGACAGATCTTCAGATATTTGAGGATGCACCTCACAATTCGCTGAAGTTTGCTCTTTTCATAGTCAGCACCTCCAGATTGTCTGTCATTTTGTCAAAGGAAGGATGCCCATTCTATCTTAAAGAGACTCTAGAATTAAACAATATGTAAACAACACAAAATGGAGAGACCCTCTCACACCTTCATCCTATGACCAGAGACTGCAGAAGTCTTCTTTAGCAGCGTCTTCACTGGGGCTCTTATTTACTAGTAAATAAACTCTGGCCTTTCCACAGTAGTAGTAGTTAAGTCTGATACCTTCATCTTCTACTTGTGCAAGTGTTCTTTTTCATAATCCAATTCAAGACTTTATATATATCTTGCTAAATATCACCTTATTTAATTTGTCCCATTATGGGGACATCGTCTGAATATTTTATCTGGCTGATACATTTCTCCTAACTCTGAGTTTTCTGCAGAATTGATAAATGGGCATCCTGGACATTTATGTGATATTAGAAAGCAAAGTGTCAGATGGAACTGGACATGGAAGAAAGCCATCTGGCCCATCATTAGGGACCTTTCTCAGCCTTTGGTTGAAGCCAACTCTGATTGGAACCATCCAGCCCACCTTGCTATATCTTGTCTATGAGGCTGTTACAAAAATTACCAAGGTCAAAATAATTTCCTAAAATCAAGCTCTGTAACGTCTGTTATGTTCCTTGGTACTATAAACCTTGCAACTCCACCCAGAAAAAGAAATGGTATTTGTTTTTCACAGCTTCTCAGTAAATACTAATGGTTCCTAGTAATCTCAAATTCTTTTGAAATACAATTTTTTAAATAATTGTTTCTAGAGCTTTGACGAGGATCATAAGTCATGTTTATTTACCATAGGAAAAGTGGGAAATATGCTCCAAAACCTCTTTTGGTTACAAAATTCTCCATAAGTTTTTAAAGACTAAGGTCATATGTGCAAGCTCGCTCTTCCCTCCCTTCTTCCCTCATTTCCTCCCTCCCCCTCCCTCCCTCCCTCCCTCCCTCCTTCCCTCCCTCTTTCAACTGTATCTCACCCTGTTGCCCAGGCTGAAGTATAGTGGCATGATCTCAGCTCACTTTAACCTCTTCCCCCATATTCAAGAGACTCTCCTGCGTCAGCCTCCTGAGTAGCTGGGATTACAGGTGTGTGCCACTATGTCCAACTGATTTTTGTGTTTTTAGTAGAGA